TGGGAACAGTTTGTGCTGCCGCGGGCATAACACATAGGGCACTGGGTAGAATCCTCAAGATTCAGCCTTCATTGAGGGGCTGACTCATCTCTAGAATAGAAGCTGCTTCGGAACAGCCCTTTCAAAGGATCACACTGATTCTACGTAAATTAACTATGTACCAGGAGCGAAAATATCCAACACTATTTAAAGGAATAGAACACCACCAATCAACAATATAAAATTCACATTATCCAGCCCCAATTAAAAAAAAAAAAAAACAACCCCTGTAAGAACTGCAAGGAAGTTGGACAACATGACCGAGAACTAAGAGAATAATCAACCAATAAAAAGAGACCTGAAATGACAGAGATGATGGACTCAGAAGACTAGCTTGTTTAAAAAAATATCTACTATAAACATGTTCTAGTTATTTCAGGGGATAGAAGGAAGCATTATCATGTGAGGAGATAACTGAAATATTTAAAAAAAAGACCTAAAAGAAATTTCTGGAGATGAAAAACAGTATCTGAATATATTTAAAATATGCTAGTTGAAATTAACAGCAAATTAGAAAATGCAAAGGAAAGATTAATACTGGAAGACACAGAAATAAAAATACACCCAAAATGAAACAAAGAGGAGGAAAAAATGAGTGCAATATCAATGGCATGTAGAATAACATCAAGCAATTGAACAAAGGTATAAGCGAACAGAAAGAAAAACATTTAACACCACTTGATAGAAGATCTCTCTCCCTCTCCCTTTCTCTCTGTGTCTTTCCCTGTCTCTCAATCTGCCTTTCAAATAAATAAATACTTTCTTAAAAATTTAAGAAACAGTTGAATAACATAACATAAATTATAAACTCACGGCTCCAAAAATCTCAACAAACTCCAACCAGAATAAACATAAGGAAAATTATGCCAAGGGACATCATAATCAGCTTGCTGAAAAGTAGTGAAAAAAAAAGGCAAACGATGCCAGGTAGAAATCCAGATTTACACAAAAGCAGTAAACAACACAGAAATGATCTATTTCAGGAACCATAACAGAGATTTTTGCCTATTTACAGCAAAAATGTTAATAATATATTGTGATCTGTATAGCATAAGTAGAATGTAAGACAAGAATAGTATAAAGTATGGAAGAGGAAAATGAAAATATTCTGGTGTAAACGTTCTTGTGTTTTCTATAAGGTGGAATAACATGGGAAGACAGATTGAACATTTAAAGATGTATATTGTAAAACCTAAAGCAATTACTAGAAAAAAGAGATATGGCTAATAAGGCAATAGTGAAAAAAATGGAATCATTGAAAAAAAATCTAAAAGAAGGCAAGAAAAAAGCAACAAAAGGCAAGATGGGACAAATAGTGGGAAAACAGCAAGATATGAGATATAAACTTAACCATCCCAATTATTACATTAAATGTAAACAGTTATAGCATCCTAATTAATATAGATATTGAGGGGCTAGCATTGTGGTGTACTGGATTAAGCCTCCTGCAACACTGGTATCTTATTTCGGTGCGGTTTAAGTCCTGGCTGCTCTACTTCTAGTCCAGCTCTCTGTTAATGTGCCTAGGAAGGCAGAAGAGGATGGCCCAAGCACCTGGGCCCCTGCACCCATGTTGAAGACCAAGATGGAGTTCTTGGTTCCTAGCTCTATGGCTTCTACTTAAGCTAGCCCTGAATTTGAGGCTACTTGGGGAGTGAATCATTGGATGGAAGATCTTTCTGTCTCGCCCTTTTTCTTTGATACTCTGCCTTTCAAACAAATGAATAAAAAAGAAATCCACTTTCGATGTAAAGCAACAGAGGTTAAAAAAAAAAAAAGCTGGAGTAATTGTATCAGACAAAGCAGACCTCAAAACAAGGGGTAAAGAATAAAGAGCAAAGAATAAAGAATTCAGAACAAAGAGGTTATGACAATTATTATCTCTTTTAAAGATTTAATTGTTTATTATTTGAGAGGCAGAGTCACAGACAGAGAGAGGGAGAGACAGAGAAATCTTCTATCTGCTGGTTTACTTCCCAAATGGCTGCAACAGTCGGAGCTGAACCGATCTGAAGACAGGAGCCAGGAGCTTCTACTAGGTCTCCCACACAAGTGCAGGGGCCCAAGGACTTGGGTCATCTACTGCTTTCCCAGGCCATGGCAGGGAGCTGGATCGGAAGAGGAGCAGCCAGGACTCAAACTGGTGCCCATGTGAGATGCCGGTACCACATGTGGAAGCTTAATCTACTATGCCACAGCACTGGCCACCAGGATATGATAATACTAAGTATGGCTAAACTTAGTATCAGAGCTTCAAAATATACGAAGTAACAAAAAATTACAGAAGTGACAGGAGAAATAATTAAGGTGGAGAATTCAACATCCCTGTCTCAGCAATTAACAAAACAAGTAGACAGAAATCAATACAGATACAAGACTGTAACGTTATTAACATTATTAACCAACTTGATCTAATAGCCACTTATGGAATATTCTACTAAACAACAGCAGAATATTCATTCCTTTCAGGTACACATAAAACATTCCTCCCAGCAGACCATATTTTGGACCATAAATCAATCAGATTAAAATCATACAGGGTATGTTCTCTGATTACAATAAAATTAAACTAGGCATCAATAATAGATTATTTGCAAAATTTTAAATACTTGGAAAGTAAAAAACATACCTCTAAATAACAAATGGTTTAAAAAAGAAACTCCAAGGGAAACTGGAGAATATTTTTAAGTGAATGCAAATGAAAACACAACATCTCAAAACCTAAAGCACAGCTAAGCAAAATGAAGTAAAAATGAAGACTGCTAAATTCACCTTACAGCCTGTTTTAGCTGCACTGAATCAATCCAGTAATTAAATAATGATTAGACGTGGGCAGCTGTTATTCATCATTACATAAAAGGGCTTAATTCACCAGTATTTATTGCAGCTCCTTAAAAGCAAAGAAGCATGGTTACTCCTGGCTGTAGGAAGGAAGAAAACACACTGTCCCACACCCACCAAGAGAAACTAAGGTCTGACCCCAACGCCAAAGCCAGGGGGGACACAGAGCTCTGCAAGTGAAGGCAGCACTATCTTCCTGCACAGGATGAGCCAGGGAAGCTGCACAGAGTAGAAGCAAGTGGTTTGGGCCCAGAAGCTGGATAGGGCTGTGAGAGCACAAACCAAGGTCTAGGCAAGGGCCCGCTATGTCCAAGGCAGAGTAGCGAGGCTGAAAGGCCAGACAGTAGGTTCAGTGAGCAACAGTTACTGCAGTTTCACCAGGGCACAGCTGCAGCATGGGAAGGGGAAGCTTGGGACTCCACTGAGAGGACCCAGGGTAACCTACAGGCTGGACTTGGGGGTTTGAATCTTGGGTCTACTGTCTACACGCACAACAGGACAAGGTCAAATTTCTCCACTTCCTTAAGGCCCACTTTCTCTTGACAGTAGGTTGAAACCATCTCTGTCCCTCTGAGCGGGGAATGAGAGCAAGTGTACTGTAAACACTGGGAAACACTATACTAATATAAAAGCACTGGGAAGGTCCGGAGGGGCTTTGGGGGCAGCAAAGGGGCAAAGGCAGAGGAATGACACCCTAGTGATGCAAATGCTGGGTGAGAAAGTAAGGCTACTGCAGGAGTCGGCTCGGGAGAAGCAAGGACTTCAACTGCTGAGGCTGTGGTGGAGCCTGAGGTGGGCCCCTGGGACTGACCCAGCATGGGACAGGAGCCGGGGAGGAGGAAAGGAGAACCTCAGTCAAAGTGTAGTGGGTGTCTGGGAGAATTCGGAGCTCCCAAACAAGGAAGCTAACAAGCAGCTGATCTGGGCGGAGAAGATAGCATGATGATGCCAAAAGGAACTTCTACTCTGACTCTAAGGAACTGTTGACTCTGGGAAGGAAAAATAAACCTCATCAATAAACTATTTCATCTTAGGAACTATTTTGTCTATTGTAAAACATCTGGAAATAATTTACATATACAGTTACACAGATGCCTTTTACTCAAGCAGTATATCTGAGTTTTGCCTGATCGTTTCTAGCATCAATACATTTTCCCGCATGTTGGGATTCTACTAGAAGGCTGGAAAATGGGAAAAAAAAATACATGAATAAGGGCACCAGAGAGAACTACCACTGTGTTAGTGCAGTTGCATCAGAATTCATCAAATAAACTTTTGGTGCTGAACTAGCACAGCAAAAGAGAACAGAAAAGTTAAGAAGATCAGCAAAGTAGTAAGGGAAGAAAGAATTGTTTGTCACTGATTTCTCTGCTTAAAAAAATAATAAATCTTTTTTTTAAAGAAAATACAGTCAATGAAGAAAGCTTAGTCACTTGAATCTACAGGACAGAGACTTACTAGAAAACATCACTCTAGACTAAAGTACAATGACATGGGCTGTGGCTGTCTGAATGAACACAAAGCCAACTGGTGCTCTAGACTTCACTACCTATGGTGGCCAGACCAACAAGTCAAACTTATGTCACATCCTTCCACATCTGGCTTTGACTCAAAAAGTGACAAGTAGAATAAAAACTTCAAAATGATGATTAAAAAAATACATTTGAATAATGTTTACTATAATTAGCTTAGGTCTGAATTTCACCTGATTTCCAAATATACTAATAGCACCCAAAGTAAAACTGGATTAGACACGATTAGCTTATCCTAGTAAACATAGTGAGTGAAGGGGGAAGGTTTACTGTTCTGTAAAAAGGAGCTTCTTCAAACTAACTGGAGTGATATTCACACAGTGTCTATTCCATGCCTGTGTTTCAGTTAATTCCAAGCCAGACCCAAATACAAGTAAAGGTCTGCCATTATAGCTTTTTGCTAACAAGCAAGTTTTTTGCCCCAAATCAGTTAGCCTTAAAAGCATACCTGAAGAAAGAAGTACTAACTAGCACCCTGTGAGCAATTTATTCAAGTTCCTTGCTGGGGCATGTCAAAACAAACCTCAACAGGCAAAGGAGGGGCGGGGGTGGGGAGGGAAACATCTGGATAGGCTCCAGAGAACTCACCCGTGCAAAGTCAAACGCGTATCTGTAAATCAGTTTAAAGTTTGTAGAATCGTTTAATAATGATCTTAAGTAATCCAAAGTATTTCTGAGTTTTTCTGTTGTGTCACATCTAGAAAAATAGAATAGAGGCAAATTAAAACCCAAGGTCTTTTTTAATTCTCTTCAATCACGGTGGTACTACAAGACATCACCAAAGGGAAAGATAAAAATCCTGAAGTGAGAACGTGTCTGTGAGGACCTACTTTTTCTACGTTTAAAAAAAAGTTTCAAACGTACAGAATAATAAGCACCCATATATCCATCTCCTTGCTTCCACAATGAATATTTTGTCACACGTGTGCATTCGGCCTCACAAGCATGCCTTTTTATACCATTTGAACGCTGGCAACCACAATGTCATTTCACTCCCAACCACTTCAATATCATCATCATCACTCTTAATATCACATCACTGTTGGCTTTCTAATATAGAAGTCTACAATAGCTAATATACAATCCACAGGCACGTTTCCCAGTTGTTCAACTTTCCTTTATAGCAGCTGTTTTTGATCTCAGATCCAATCAAGGAGCATGCATTGCTTTTAATTGTCAAGCCTCCTTAGTCTCTACAAGAGAGTTCTACTTTTTCTGCCTGTCTTGACAATGTCACTTACAAAAGGACCAGGCTAGTTTTGCTTATAGAAAGGCAACTTGTCAGGTATGTTCCCATGGTTACACCAGAACACTTCTGACAGGAACACTGTATGGCTGGGGATTTCTGGCTTTAACTCAGTGTTATCATCTGTTACTGTCTATATCCTGTTTGATACATAGGCTGCCCCTATTCCCGCAGAGGCCCCTTCAGCCCCAGGGTCCCTCTGACACACCCCCACCCGTCTCTGAGCACTTCCTTGCTTTCTGGCACAAGCTGTTCCAGCTCACCTTGCTCTCTCCCTGCCCTAGCCTTGCCATCAGACATTTCTCTGCAGAGCCCTAGTGATGGCACCTATTTTTACCACTAAGTGACAGTGTTTACTTTTCATAAGGCAGTAGACTAATAGGTTATTTTTAAAATGAATTTTCTGTTCGCAATATCTAGCCCATAAAATCGAGAACCCGGAGTCACTGTTATTAAACAATATTAAGCCTTTTCAATGCTGGGTGTTCCCTTGTGTTTCTCTACAGAGCTTTTTCCTACTACTGAGTAGAGACAGTTTATATAGCAAGTATTATCAATATAAACATTCTGCATGCTATATAACTAAAATACAGCTCATAATAGATTGTCTTGATCTATTTTTAGCAAAAAATCGGCAAAAGCTCCTTTTTTGTAGCTAACTATAAATAAGACTCCATGATCTCTTTATTTGATGAACTATCTAAAAGCCAAAAATTAGAGTAAATATTTGATTTCTTAACCAGGAAGTAGATGTTTTTGGAGATGTGCCAAGGGCTCTCCAAACACTAGGAAAAGCGTGCGCAAAGACCCACTGCAAAGGGAGCAAGGCAAGTTCAAAGGACTAAAAGAAACCCACTCTGAATGTAGTGGATAGACTAAGAGGGAAACACGAGAGGGAGGTCAGCCCGTAAAGAGCTGTTGTGAACTACAGTGAGAGCTTTTTTTTCTTTTCTTTTTGTTTAACTTGGGAGCGAACCAGCTAACCCACACACATGCAAAGGCCAGATCCCTGCTCTTCACTAGAAAGGGGGGGCAAGGACCAAAGCCACCAAACCAGCCGGATTCTAGTTCAGCCCTATCCAATGAGAGCAAAAAGAACAGCTGTTTGCTTTAACAAATTCAGAAGCAGGACTCTCTCGTTATGATAACTGCTGCACAGCTGAGAGAAAATAAAGTAACTGTGACTCGGGGGCAGAACTGGAAGGTGCAACGTGAAGTTCGTTCCGCAGCATGCCTGGAATGGGCCCAGCCGCCCTGGCAGAAAGCTGTCCCTGTGTTTGAAAGACATGCGAAGAGCTCATCTGGAGCGTAAGAAACGGATGCGCCTCGCGTTTTAAATATACAAAACACACGTAAAATCTCACTTCATGTATGCATGAAGGATGGTGACACAGGTTTAGAGCAAAGAGGGCTCTGCTCCCGCAAGCAGTCTGCTGAGTGTGGAGCCACAGGCTGCCCTCTAGTGGCCACTCAAGAAGCACCTCTTCAGAGAGAACAGGGCGCTAACAAACGGCCTGTGAAGAAACAGTGAGACTTTAGAAGGCAGCCCATCTTCACCCTGTGTTTCCCTATGCTTTTCTGTGTGCCATGCATAACGGACTTGCAGAAGCTGCAGAGTCAGCTACGATTCTAGCTCGCTTGGTCAGCCTTAAGTTTAACTTATCAGAAGTAATCATAAACCCATACATCAGGACAAGGTAATAAATAAAAAAACAGTCCAAGGAAGAGCTGTGTCTCCCCTGACTGTCAATCACAAGGGGGGGTGCAGCTGCTTTGTCTCCAGCCCTCACTTACACCGCCACTCGGTCCCAGACAGGCAGGTCCCGGGGAGGCCAAGCACGCAATTCCTCCAGATGGCATCAAGGAGACCAATTTTTGAATGCCCACGTGTAAGTCACATGTCGTCGTCACATAACCGTCCTGTTCGGAGATGCTACCAGAGACACCAGGAAGCAACAGAACCACGCCAGAACTATGGTTCCGAAAACTCATGGGCTTTATCTGGTACACTCACTGCACAGTAGCAATTTGTAACTTGAATTTTAACTAAATACACTGCTCTTGTCTGAATGATTGTCTCCCCAAAATGCTTATGCTGAAATCCCAGTCCTCCAGGTGACAGCACGCAGAGGAGGGACCTCTGGAAGGTGATTTAGGTCATGAGGACAGAGCCTTCATGTAAGCACTAGCCCCCTTATAAAAGAAGGCCAAGGGAGCTTGTTTGCATCTTTCAAAATCTAAGTATACAGGCAGAAGGCACCATCTAAAGAAACAAAAATGAGCCTCACCAGACACCTTGATTTTGGAGTCCATGGTCCCCAAGTACATGGGCAATAATACTCTGTTGTTTATAGGCCAAACAATGCAAAGGGAAGAAGGCATATACTAATGTACATAAACACAGGTTTTGTCACGCATATTAACTCCAGTGTGAGTCCAAAAGCTTTCAGTGGATAGTCAAATACAATTAAAACAAGCAAAAGAGAAAAATCCTTAAAGAAGTTGAGATAATTCAAAAGATGGAGTACTTTCTATCTTGAGAGCATATAATTACCCTCTCAGTTTTTGTGCATACTAGATACATATCCCTCACGAACACAGTACTTAACTTAATTAATTAAATTACCATGAGAGGTGTTATTGTTTTTGGATTTTTGGCCTGAATATTGTTTTTAAGCCCCTGCCCCTATTCAACTCTGTCTTGCTTTGGGGTTTTATTTTCCCAGGGAGCAGAGGTAACTAAAACATGAAGTTAAATTATTTTTGAACTAGAAAGAAATGTAAAAGTTATTCCAAATAACTATGTCCACATCATTGATGAGCAAGTCAATTTCAGAGTTCCATTTCACTGGGACAATGCAGATTCACTCATGCACAGGCTCATCGCTAAACCTTGAACTGCAAGGACCAAGCAGCAGCCACCTGTGACATCTGCCACCACCTGTGCCCCACAAAGTGGCAAGCAGTGTTCCCAACCTGGAATGCTGATGTACACCCCTTGCAGGAAACTATTTCTTCCACTCCCAGGACACATGGCCCTCAAAACACACAGGAAAAACCTGGCATCAGGTAACAGTCGCTTGTAGTGAACCAGCAGATGGAAGATCTTCCCTCTCTGTCACTTTACCTTCCAAATAAATATTAAAAAAGTTAAAAAAAAAAAAAAACCAGGATAGATATTACACCCTCTTAAGACAAATGGAAATAGGCCTGAAGAAATGTTGATGGTGCCCCCTCTGAAGCCTTGAAATAAAATCCTGAAATGGCCTTGCATTCATCATTCCAAGGACACACAAAAGAGCAGCCATCGCATGCTCCATTGGAAAAGCAACAAAGAAAAGCAATGAGGAAAATAATGAAAGAGTCAGTAGGCTGAAAATCGATCAGGAGATATTCCCCAACAAGACAAACCCAATTTGAAAGAGACTATAGAGAACTTAACCCTAAAATTCTAGAGCATGCGGACAGGGGAGTGAATCTGCAAAAGGACGGCTTGGCTTTTTCTTCAAACTCCTTTTTATGAAGAATCCGAAGTCATGGATTTCCTTCCCATCTCCACCACTTTCACAAGTCACACGGCCTCCTGAAGCCTCAGCTTCCTCATTTCTAAAATGTCCAGAACAAAGCCTGAACTGCCCTCTCCTCAGACAGCCAGGAGGCTCAAGTTTGAATCAACTATTAAAGCACAATGCAAATAAAGCATGATTAACCATGACAAATGGATAATACTATTATGCAAGCTGACAAATGCCAAAATTACTTAAATGAAACCATTTCAAACCCCAATTAATGCAATAAAAAACAAGATCCGTTATTCATAGTTAAAGTGAAAAGAAAAAAAAAGGTCATGCAAAGCACTTTAGATCAAAGCTCCTTTGCAAAGAATTACCACATCCCCTTCAGTACCAACTGAAATGTTCAGCGCCCTACCTCAAGCACAATCTTCATGGCCCACGACACAACACCCACTTATTTTCTGCAGTGAAACTTAGCATGCATGCACACACACACACACACACAGGCACAAAGCAAATACATAAAACCTCACTCTTTTCTTATTTGGGCCAGGTAACACAAATAGAATCTTTACTGTTATTATCATCACTAGCATTACTGTTGTAATGTAGTTCTAAATTTGTCCAAAGCTAAAATCAGAATATATATAAAACAGAAGACATCAGTGTTTTCACTTAAAAGTTATACATTACTCAATTTTTCCTCTCTAACTGTAAACCAGATGCCTTTGGTACTTAGGCTCTAAACCTGCACCAATCAATACAATCAGCCCTAGGCAGATGTGACTACTGAGCGGTTGAAACGTAATGAATACAAATAAGTGTAAGATGCACACCAGTTTTAAGGCTTACTATGAAAAAAGAATGCAAAATATCCCACTGCTTTTATAAAATATTATAGGTTAAAACAATAATATTTTAGCTATTTTTGGTTAAATATATTAAACCTAACCATACTTGATTCTTTTCCCATGTGGCTATTAGAGTATTTTAAATTACATATGTGGCTCACATACATGAGAAAACGTTATTTCATTTCTACTGGACAGCACTCTCTCTCAGTAAACTAACACACTCTGTCTCTGTAGACACACATATACACACAATATATATAGAAACCTAAATGGTTAAAATTCACCCATAAATTGTGTCCTCAAAATGGGTCTTGGTCTTTACATCTTCGGCCACAGGGGAAGTTTGCCCTGACCACCTGACTCCCTTCCATTCGGCCAGTCGCATCATGAGGTCCCAGAGGGGAAGGCAAGCCACTGGGGAGGGCAGGAATCCCCCTCCCCCACCGGTGCAGCCTCAGGACTTACTGTAGAGAAGTCATTCCTTTTAACCATTCCTGTAGAGTAAAATAACCCATGTTCTGTGCATCCAATTTCCAAGCAAGGACAAGCATAACTACCTGTTTAAAGAAAAGAAAGACAAAATCTCAGCAATCAGATACACTAACCTCTAACCAGTGCTTCTGTTCACAACTGCTGGCTCATGAAACATGCACAGGGAACTTCAAAGTGGGTTCTAGCTTGGGAACTATCTAAAAAGTTTGATTATACAATCTGCTGACAAGGGCTCAGAGAAATATGTGTTCTCACCATGCACGATGGGCAAAGTAAAAAGCCATTTACCTCTCCAGAGGGCAACTGTGCAGTGTCTATCAAAATTAGAACCAATTATTGACTTGGCAATTCCATTCACGGAAAGTTATCTTACAGATACATTTGCAAATGCACACAAGATGTATATTCAACTATATTCAATATAATACTACATGTAGTTATAAAAGATAGAAAATAACCAAATGTCCATTAATAAGAGACAAAGATTTGCTGAACACACTACACAAAAAGGAATATTACAACACCATTAAGACAAACCAAATGGACAAATACAGAATAATCTCCAAGATTTATTAACTGAAATAGCAAGGTACAGAACAGTATGTTAACAACAAGTGGGAGATATACAGTGGGGTTATAACACAAGTAGATTAAAGTAGATTAACGTTTGTGAATCCAACTATCCCCTGAGGGAAATCATTGTAAGATGACCCAACATTCCACTTTTTTTTTTTCCTCAAAGATTTATTTATTTATTTGGCAGTCAGAGTTACATAGAGAGAGAAGCAGAGGCAGAGAGAGAGAGCGAGAGGTCTTCCATCCGCTGGTTCACTCCCCACTTGGCTGTAACGGCCAGAGCTGAGGCAATCTGAAGCCAGAAGCCAGAAGCCAGGAGTTTCTTCTGGGTCTCCCATGCGGGTGTAGGAGCCCAAGGACTTGGGCAAGCTACTACTGCTTTCCCAGGCCATTGTAGAGAGCTGGATAAGAAGTGGAGCAGCTGGGACCCAAACCAGCGCCCACATGGGATGCCAACTCTGCAGGCAGCAGCTTTACTCGCCACACCACAGTGCCCGCCCTCCAACACGCCACTTAACCAGTACTTTGCTTGCAATGGGCTGAGGGTGAGTGGCAAGGCCCAATCACTCCTCAGTAGGGGTCAGGTCCGCAGTCCCACTCTCGCTTTTAGTCAATCTTCTGAAACTTTGCAGTGATCAGTAACCGCAACAACTCTGGTTCATGCCACTGCTCTATCACTTTTTTCACAGAGCTAATTTAGAGAAAAGAACATCACAGAGCACTGATGGTGAGTCATCATAAATACCCGAAGGTGTGAAGACGATTACATCTCAAACAGGCTCCACCTTCAAGCTATCCAAGGCCCTGCAAGGGACAGGGCTGAGGCCACCCATGACTGGGAGTCTTCCCTCTCACCCAACTCAGAGACCCAAGGAAAGGTGAGGAATAACTGAAAAGGACACAGTGGTCCTAAAAAGATAAACAAGAAGGGGGAGACCTGAGATCAGCATGCCACTCTGGGTTTGGCTATCTAAGGACAGTTATTCATACAAAAGGGATGCCCAAGTCCCAAACTGGATCAGGCATACACCGTTGATGGGCGCTAGGCATCTGTTGTAACAGAGAAGGGCAATGGGTAGAAATAGGTGATTTTGGCAAACAGTTGGCCAAGGACGAGGAAACTGTGTATTGAGCAGTGAGTTTGATTTCTTCACAAAGAACCAAGGCTTCACTTCCACTACTGGGTGACTTGTTCAAAACCACAGACCATTATCCGAGAACCCAAACAAGAAATACTGAGGCAAGAAGTCAAAGAGCCGGTATGTATCTCAAAAACTCCACAAGAGTACTGAGGGGGCTTGGAAGATCTGTTCTTGCATCTGCCTGCCAGCAACATAGTACATGGGCTAGGAACCTCTGGCTTTGACTAATCTAATGCAAAGCTTTCTCTTGATGCTCACTTCATAGTTTTCTACTTTGGAAATTATTAACTGAGAACCTACCAAATTTCTAGAACCAGGGTTGGCACTGTGTCCCAGCAGGTAAAGCTGCCGCCTGTGATGCCAGAATCCCACATGGGCACTGCATTGTGTCCTGGCTGCACGAATTCCAATCCAGCTCCCTACTAATGCACCTGGGAAAGCAGCAAAAATGGCCAAAGTGCTTGGGCCTCTGCACCCACGTGGGAGACCCAGAAGAAGCTCCTGGCTCCTACCTTCAGCCTGGCCCAGCCTTGGTCATTGCAGTCATCTGGGAAGCTTCAAATATTTATTTATTTATTTATTTATTTATTTGAAAGTCAGAGAGAGAGAGATATCTTCCATTTGCTGGTTCACTCCCCAAATGGCCATAACGGCTAAGGCTGGGCCAGGCCAAAGCCTGGATCAGGAGACCGGGATCAGGAGAGGAGCAGCTGGTACTTGAACCAGAGCCCATATGGGATACTGGCACTGCAGGAGGTGCTTTACCCAGTATGCCACAATGCTGGCCCCAGTAAATAAATCTTTTAAAAATAAATAAGAACTGGAGCCAGTGCTGTGGCGTAGCGGGTAAAGCCATCACCTACAGTGCCAATATCCCATATGGGCTCTGATTCAAGTCCCGGCTGCTCCACTTCCCATCCAACTCTCTGCTATGGCCTGGGAAAGCAATAGAAGACGGCCCAAGTCCTTGGGCTCCTGCACCCGCGAAGGAGACCCAGAAGAAGCTCCTGGCTCCTGGCTTCGGATTGGCCCAGCTCCGGCCATTGTGGCCATTTGGGGAGTGAACCAGTGGATGAAATACCTCTCTCTCTCTCTGCTTCTTCTTCTCTCTGTGTAACTCTGACTTTCAAATAAATAAATAAATCTTTTAAAATAAATAAGAACAAAAAATAAATTTCTAGTATCCTTTCATCAAAAAAATTTGTACTTATCATTTTTCCAAGCCATTAGGCTAGATAAAAAAAAATCACTCTGACAAGCAGTGACTGTTAAATCAGTTTAAAAATGATTAATAAATAAGTTAAAACTAGAGATCAGTAGGCTCTGAGAATTTAAAAAAAAAAAGAAAGGACTATACATTCTTCAAATTATTCACACATAAGTGGGTTTTCTCCTCATCTGCAGGTTTCTTGGAATTCTGACTCCTGTGTATCAATCTACTTAGGTGAACGTTATCCACATTTTCTAATGCAAACTACATGCCTTCCCAAACTACATCTCCATTTAACCCTCTATTGAAAAGACTGATAATCCTACACAAACACTTACGGAAGAAACAAAAACCCCAGTGAGGGTGTGGGAATATATACAAGCGCACGCCAAACACAGCTCCCCAGCTGAAGCTGAAGTCAACCTCCACAACAGCAAACAACCTTTGTACAAAGCACTTTCTCACCACTGACTAATGAGGACAGTAACCATTTCAATGAGGGATTTTGAATTTTAGACTTGAATTTTACAAGCCTGCTTGGATTTTGTAAGCTATAAATATCAGGTGAGGTGAAGGTTTTAAATACTTTTTAAGCACTTGCTCATCAACACCATATTTCACGGCCTGTTTTTCAAATGCTAGTGCCTCTAAAACGAGGATGTAGCCGCCCAGTCGAGGGCAAGGCAGAGTTTACTCAGCAACACCTTTTCTGTCTCAGTGATGATATAAAATAGCACAACTTTCATTGGTGGCATCTTGGAACAGAAGAACAGTAATAAACACTTGGAAGAATCGTCTGAATTTGGCCTTTTCATCTTGGATATGCTTCAACACTTCAAAACTGCTTCTCTTGCTACAGAAAGGACTCAGAGCGCCACAACAGAATATTAATGACCGTCATCGCCACCGCGTCCTGGTATCTGGGGTGAGGAACTTTGAAGAGCGATGCCTCCGCTCTTCTTCAGCTAGAATCAAGCCCTTCCAGACACCAGCCTGCCTTTTCCACCTCAGAATTAAACACTCAGCTGATCCCTGGCATACCTGCAGCCCAACCCTCACCATGCCAGCGCCTCACTGTCTGCCCCAGGCCCTGCTGCCTGCTGCCCTGATCTTACAGCTGATGACTATCCTCTGAGGAAAACCTCCAGAGCCCCTCAAGTCCAATTCCCACCCCTCTGGTGATGACCTGCAGAAAACACTCTGCAAGCAGGGCCTGGCTCCCAGCAGAAAATGAACTTTTCCCATGTCTACGGACTTGATCAGGTTTAATATTATTGACCCAGCTGTCCCCAAACCTTTACACCAATTTGAATAATTTATCAAGGTGTGATCTGGAACAGACTTAAATTTAAAAAAAAGGGGGGGAGGGCGGGTAGCCAGTGCTGCGGCATAGCAGTTAAAGCTGCCGCCTGCAATGCCAGCATCCCATATGGGCACCAGTTTGAGTCCTGGCTGTTCCTCTTCAACTCTCTGCTATGGCCTGGGAAAGCAGCAGAAGATTGCTCAAGTGCTTGGTCTCCTGCACCCATGTGGGAGACCTGGAAGAGGCTCCTGGCTCATGGCTTTGGATTGGTGCAGCTCCAGCTGTTGTGGCCATCTGGGGAGTGAACCAGTAGATGGAGGACCTCTCCTCTCTCTGCTTCAGCCTCTCTGTAACTACATTTCAAATAAATAAATGAATCTTTAAGAAAAATAAAAAAAAAAAAAAAGGAAGACAAAAACCACCCAATAAGTAAAAGACATTCTAAAGGCTCTTTGGAAAATCTGAAGTGTCATTTGGGGGTGGGAGAAGAGCTGTAGGTGACAAAGAACCAGAAATAGTAAAAAGTTTAAAAATAGTATGAAGCCTCATGTTCTAGTTCTCTTTCTTTCTTTCTTTCTTTCTTTTTTTTTTTTTAATTATTTGAAAGTCAGTTAGAGAGAGCGAGCGAGATCTTCCATTGCCAGTATACTCCCCAGATGGCCACAATGGCCAGGACTGGGCCAGGCTTTAGCCAGGAGCCAGGAGCATCATCCAGTTCTCCCATGTAGGTAGCAGGGGCCCAAACGTGTGGACCATCCTCCACTGCTTTTCCCAGGCCATTAGCAAGGAGCTGGATCGGAAGTGGAGCAGCCGACATGAACTAGTGTCCATATGAGGCCAGTATCAAAAGTGGAGGCTTTACTGGCTAAGCCACAACACCAGCTCCCCTACTTTTATTTTGTTTTATTTTTTATTTATTAATTGGAAAGGCAAATTTAAAGAGAAAAAGAGATAGAGAGATCTTCCATTTGCTGGTTCACTCCCCAGGTGGCCACAACAGGGGACCAGGCCAGACTGAAGCTACGAGCTTCTTCCAAATCTCCATACGGGTGGCAGGGGCCCGGACACTTGGGCCATCTTCTGATGCTTTTCTCAGGCCATTAGCAGAGAGCTGCATCAGCAGTGGAGCAGCTGGGACCCGAACCAATGCTGATATGGGATACTGGCATTGCAGGCAGCGGCTTTACCTGCTACACCACAATGCTGGCCAGTTTTCTTTAAAAGCATGACTTATATGCCTGGGCACCAGATGCCTCAGAAATAGACTGAATGAAGAGGATGATCTCTTCCAGTTCATAAATTCATTTAGGATCCAGGTCACAGTTGTTAAATTGGAGGCTAAAGCAAAATTAAACTGTAGTTACTGAGTCAAGACACATAAAAGCCTAATTTTTACTTAAGTGTTAGAAATGATGTGGGAACAAGGGAAAAATTAATATTCAATAACAACATGGAGCTAAGAATTAATCAAAAACAATTAATCATATAAAGTACTTTGAGCTTCTTAAAGAAAATATTTAGGGTTTATCCACCAAAAAGCAATTATTTTTTGAGCTAAATTCATTTGGAAGTGAAAGACCTGTGAAGAAGTCATAATTACAACCTACTCTAAGACTGTAATGTATCATTATTCAATGTCCTGCACTAACTATACAACAGAGGCAAAGGTGCACAGCACACAGTGACTCAGTCCCCCAGGTGACCTGTCACTGTTAGGACACATGCCCACACCACTTGTTAAACATCTAGTTTAATTACTGGGGCTAGCGCTGTGGCACAGCGGGTTAACACCCTGGCCTGCAATGCCAGCATCCCACATGGGTACCAGTTTGAGTCCTGGCTGTTACTCTTCAACTCTCTGCTATGGCCTGGGAAAGCAGTAGAAGATGGTCCAAGTCCTTGGGCTCCTGCACCCGCATGGGAGACCCAGAAGAAGCTCCTGGCTCCTGGCTTCGGATTGGCGCAATTGGTGCGGTCAATTGGGGAGTGAACCATCAGATGGAAGACCAATCTCTCTCTCTGCCTCTCCCTTCTCTGTATAACTCTGATTTTCAAATAAATAAATACATCTTTAAAAAAATTACTGTACCTTTGAGAGATAAGAAATTAAATGCGTGGGGTAGAGAATAGTTACAGTTACACCATAGCATTCACATGAAAAAGATTTACTTATAAATCAAAGTAGAATTGAAACTTATTTCTTAGATTGTGTCATAAAACCTAGCATACCATTACTTCTTTATGATTGCTTTTTTGTTAAGGGACAAAAAATTTCAGTGAGAAACATAAATGGTTCACTCAACTCAGTCAGACTTACATTTTCTGGTTCAACCCCAATGTCTTCACAAAATTTCTCCATGCCTTCAGGACCTACAACATCATCAGTACCTGCAATGAAATACATCTTCTATAAATTAAACCTAACCATGTCCACTATTCCTACTGTAGTAGTATAACACTGTCATGAAATAAGACTTCAAAGTCCTAACTTTTTGTGGAAGAAAGAAATCAGGTATAAATTGAAAAATAGTTTCAAATTTCAGTTTTATTTTACTGAAATAAAACTGTTCCCTGTACAATCCTTTAAATCGATTTATCACCAGGTCCTCAACCTTTGGAATAGGGTTCATATCATTTTGTTTAAAGATACCAAGTTCAATTCCAGCTCTATAAAGTAGCTTAAAGTTCTACTTTTATTTTCATAATAATTTCAATGCACACAATAATTTCTGGTAACACAGTAAAGAATCACACAGTGTTTCCTACACAGCTAATTGAGAAATAACATAAATATTTCTTTTACACAGAAACATTTGTTTAGTTCTTAGTAATAAATGCTCTTCTCTAGCTTTGGCTGCTTCCTCCAGAAAGAACTGTCCACATGTTCAGTCTTCAACCACTGCCATTTGGTTTCTCCTGCTTTGTTCTCTCCACTGAAAGTGTTCTTGCCAAGATCACCAATAATCCTCTGTCAAATCTAACCGACACAGTCAACCTTCATTTGCCTTCTCTGTGATATCTGAAAATGTGAAGTTCTTTCTTCACAAAACTGTGAAGCACCTTCTCTCATCGGGTTCTCCTCCTTCCTCTCTTCTTTCACTTCCTATGGGTTCCACTGATTCTCTCGTTAAATTTGATGAGCAGAGTTCCTTCCTTAAATTTCTTCTAGTCCATTCTATACACCCTGCAGGAAATCTCATCCACACCCAAGGTTCCAGGTACTGCCAGATCTCTGTCTAGCCCAGTCCTTCCCCCTTACTCTTGGACAGCTTCACGTCACCACCTGGCTGTCCCACCTCCTGTTTCACTGCCATAATTAAATGTATCTCTGCCCCACACTTCCTTCTCCAGTACTTCACATTCTCAAACACTGCTGCAGTGAGCTGAGCTAGTCATCTCCCCAGGCCAAGCCTGCTTATCCTCCTGTATTCTGTCTCAGCTGGTGGCGCCAACAGAAATAGAAACCTGGGAGTCATCTTGTATTCCTCCTCCCTTTTCCCACAATCAATCATCACGTGTACTGCCAATTCATCTTCTAAACATGACCTAATTGCACTTCTGCACCACCCTGGTTCAGGATTTATTCTCTCACAGAAGTCTCCCTGGAATCTCCCAATGCCATAGCCTTTCCCCACAACTCCCACTCAAACCCATCCTGCACACAGCCCTCCAGGAGGCCTAGCTCAAACACAGTTCCCACGTTGGCTTGAACTCCTTCAGTGGCTCCCTATGCCTAAAGATAAACTGTAACTCTGTGGCACATCAAATAAGCCTCTGTATGATCTAGTGCCTTCCTTCCCTTTAAGTCTCATATCCTTCCACACACAAAACATGTTTCCCAGTTTCTTTAGAACAAATGAATCAATGAATCTACAGATACTGCTGAATAAATAAAAATAAGCCCAAGGAACACCTGCTTGCCTGTGGTTTCACTCTACCCCATGTCCTGACATGTACCTACCACCACCCTACTCTTGCTGGCTCAGCCCATCTTCCCTCCCCGGCCCCAGTCAGCCCTGGCAAATTCATCCAATGTTTATCCCTGAGATCACACAGGCCATCCTTCCAATCCTCCCACCTGCTGAGCCTGGGTCAGGCAGTCCTGGGGACCAGCTCCAAGCAACACTAGGAATGGTTCTCTTAACACTGAGCCCACTGTTTTCAAAGTCCCAGCCCCTCTGTGGTTCTCTCTGACCTCCTCAAGAGCAAAAGCTATTTTATTCCTTTTACAATTTCAGCATACCAGCAATAAAAGTTTATTTAACAAATAAATGAATACTAGAATAAAGCAATCACTTGACAATCCTCCCATAGCCTCTAGATCCAGCAAGTTGCCAAATCTGGCAGAACCCATCATTTGTTCAGATACCATTAATAGACACATCCTGGAGCTATGCACTGTGTCGGTTGCTTCAATACAAAGACCCTTGCCCTCCATGAAGGCAGACAAGGTGTAGGGGTAATTTCAATATAAAGTAATAACTAGATTACAAAAAAAAAAAAAAAAAAAAAAGTACCAGCTGTCCTCAACAAAGGTCAGTCTTCTCAGGATTACCACCAATGTTCACCACCAAGAGTGCTTGTTGTAAAGTCTTGTCACGTCTGTGCTTCCAAGCTGTCCCTCTCCACATCCCCTCCAAAGTTCAGACTCAGGCCCTTCCTCATATTCTGGCCAAAGCAAGGACTTTTCCTCCATGACATCATTTTCCTTTTAATCACAAATGTGCAAGTCTGATACAGAATGTTTTGTTTCAGATTAAGTTCTTTCAAACCTTTTCATGGGGTTTTTCTTTCCCCCAACTCTATCTTTTTTTCTGTTTTCTTAATTTTCTCAATTACTGGGGAGAAATCAAATGAAACGAATTTTAACTTAGGGGTTTTGTACATTAATATACAAACATGATACAAAATTACTCTTGGAGGTGGAAATAAAAATACTTAAAAAAGTAAATTTTCCCTTTACCTTCTCCCTTCTCCCTGGAGACAAAAATCAGTTGTCTACAGCATTCCACATGCACGGATTATATATATATATTCAACGTCTCTACATTTTTCCAGGCAATTCTCTTTGGCTTTCCAGAGATTCAGTAATTTAATGTCATCATCAATGAACGATGTTTTTTGCCTCCTCACATCCAATATTTATGCCCCCATTCCTTTCTCTTATCTAACAGCACTGGCTAGCTAGCAGCTTCCAAAACAATTGCAAGTAACAGTAGTGAGAATCAGAGTACGTAACCCATTCCTGATGTAAATGAGAATACACTTACCATTTTGTCATTTCCTATATCACCAGCTTTGGGTTTGAGAGTGCAAATATGTGTGCGCTCATGTATGTATTATGCACATTTTTCAAATAGAGAAGATACAGAGTAAAATAGTTAAAAAAAAAAAAAAAGCAAGCCTCCTTCTCCCTTTCTTTACCAGTCTGGCATATATCCTTTCAAACCTTTTTGCTATATATTTTTTTGTTTTTGTTTGCATGCATTTATGTAAGTTCAAATACACAACAAAATACAAGTTTTAAACTTGTTTATCTACACACATGGATTCATGCTGTACCTATAAATCCACACTTTGCTTTTCCCACTGACGTGCCTGGGAATCCTCCTGTGAGAGTAGCTGTATATCTACTTTGCTTGTGCTGGTAAATAATTTTTTTTTTTTTTAAACAGGCAGAGTTAGACAGAGAGAGAGAGACAGAGAGAAAGGTCTTCCTTCCGTTGGTTCACCCCCCAATTGGCTGCCACAGCTGGCGCACAAGCCGATCCAAAGCCAGGAGCCAGGTACTTATCCTGGTCTCCCATGCGGGTGCAGAGCCCAAGCACTTGGGCCATCCTCCACTGCCTTCCCGGGCCACAGCAGAGAGCTGGCCTGGAAGAGGGGCAACCGGAACAGAATCCGGCGCCCCAACCGGGACTAGAACCCAGGGTGCCGGCGCCACAGGCAGAGGATTAGCCTAGTGAGCCACAGCACCAGGCGGTCAATACTTTTTATAAGACGTATGAGTGTGTATCCATACGTGTCATAGTTCTTTCCACCATTCCACCACTGTAAAGTATTTAAACTGTGAGATTAAATAACTATTCTGATTAGGAAACAGCCTCTATTCCTATTTTGTTCAGAGGTTTTTTTTTGTTTTTTTTTTTTTTTTTTTTTGACAGGCAGAGTGGACAGTGAGAGAGAGAGACAGAGAGAGAAAGGTCTTCCTTTGCCGTTGGTTCACCCTCCAATGGCCGCCGCTGCAGCCGGCGCACCGCGCTGATCCGATGGCAGGAGCCAGGAGCCAGGTGCTTTTCCTGGTCTCCCATGGGGTGCAGGGCCCAAGCACCTGGGCCATCCTCCACTGCACTCCCTGGCCATAGCAGAGAGCTGGCCTGGAAGAGGGGCAACCGGGACAGAATCTGGCGCCCCAACCGGGACTAGAACCCGGTGTGCCGGCGCCGCAAGGTGGAGGATTAGCCTATTGAGCCACGGCGCCGGCTCAGAGGTTTTTTTTAAGAGCAGATTTTTTTTTTTTTTTTTGGGTATCTGCCTTCATGGAGATGACTGCATAGACCTGGGGGGAAGAGTTACTTTATAATTCTTTTTCAATTTCTTTACTTTCTATTTTTCCTGATTTAAAGAATATTTTCAGGCATTTAGCTAGCAGTTAAAACACCTGCATCCTGGCCGGCGCCGCGGCTCACTAGGCTAATCCTCCATCTGCGGCGCCGGCACCCCGGGTTCTAGTCCCGGTCGGGGCGCCGGATTCTGTCCTGGTTGCCCCTCTTCCAGGCCAGCTCTCTGCTGTAGCCAAGGAGTGCAGTGGAGGATGGCCCAAGTGCTTGGGCCCTGCACCCCATGGGAGACCAGGATAAGTACCTGGCTCCTGCCATCGGATCAGCGCGGTGCACCGGCCGCAGCGCGCCAGCTGCAGCAGCCATTGGAGGGTGAACCAATGGCAAAAGGAAGGCCTTTCTCTCTGTCTTTGTCTCTCTCTCTCACTGTCCACTCTGCCTGTCAAAAAAAAAACAAAAACAAAAAAAAAAACACCTGCATCCTACAACGGAGTTCTTGAGTTCAATTACAGACTCTAGCTCCTGACTCCAGTGAGAGGGAGACAGAGAGGTCTTCCTTCCGTTGGTTCACTCCCCAAATAGCTGCCACAGCTGGAGCTGCACCGATCCGATGCCAAGAGCCAGGAGATTCTTACAGGTCTCCCATGCGGGTGCAGGGGCCCAAGCACTTGGGCCATCTTCTACTGCTTTTCCAGGCCATAGAAGAGAGCTGGATTGGAAGAGAGCAACCGAGACATGAACCAGCATCCAATTGGGATGCCAGCACCACATGCAGAGGCTTAGCTCACTATGTCACAGTGCTGGCCCTGCGGTGTCTTTTTTTTTTTTTTTTTTTTTTTTTTTTTTTTTTTTGACAGGCAGAGTGGACAGTGAGAGAGAAAGAGAGAGAGAGAGACAAAGGTCTTCCTTTTTGCCGTTGGTTCACCCTCCAATGGCCACCGCGGCCAGCGCGCTGAGCTGATCCGAAGGCAGGAGCCAGGTGCTTCTCCTGGTCTCCCATGCGGGTGCAGAGCCCAAGCACCTGGGCCATCCTCCACTGCACTCCCTGGCCACAGCAGAGAGCTGGCCTGGAAGAGGGGCAACCGGGACAGAATCCCGCGCCCCGACTGGGACTAGAACCTGGTGTGCCGGCACCGCATGGCCGAGGATTAGCCTATTGAGCCACGGTGCCGGCCTCCTGCGGTGTCTTTTAAAAAGCTAGATTTGGAGCCAGAGCTGTGGTACAGTAGGTTAATCCTTCACCTGCGACGCCAACATCCCATATGGGCGCTAGTTCTAGTCCCAGTTGCTCCTCTTTCGATCCAGCTCTCTGCTATGGCCTGGGAAAGCAGTCGAAGATGGCCCAAGTGCATGGGCCCCTGCACCCTCATGGGAGAACTGGAAGAGGCTCCTGGGTATAATAAGCCAGGTTATTCCCTAGCTTATTATTGTAGATAGAAACTTTTTTAGCCATTAGCCAGTGGCATCATTATCTTGCCTGACAAAAGTTATCTTAATTCTACAGGTGAATTGATAAATTATGGGTAAAATATAACCACGATTCCAATGAACATTATGATTAGAGTGAGATTTAGATGTGGGAAATAAAAATAAAATAGAAGGATTATGGATCTCTCTTAAACATGTTTATTGACAAACTATAATATATTTAGGTTAAAATATTCTTTTGGCAGTCATGGCTTTACAAATTCTCTCCTGAAATGCAGCTTTTTTTTTTTAAATATTTTATTTATTTGAGAGATAGAGTTACAGACTGTGAGACGGAGAGACAGAAAGGTCTTCCATCCACTGGTTCACTCCCCAAATGGCTGCAATGGCCGGAGCTGGGCTGATTCAGATTTATGAGTTTTGGTTAACTCTGAAAAATCAGTGTTGGCACCTACCTGTGTATATGGGTACTTCAAAGAGTTCACAAGAAATGCAATTAAAAATATTCATTTGGTACAAAGTATTCTCAAATCCATGCACAATTTTCACATAATATACTTTTTTCCACCAACTTTTTTGAATGCCCTTGTATTTGATTTAATTCTGTGCTCTTAGATATATTTCAGAAAGGGAAGTTTCTTGATAAATGATTTATATAAAACTGGTTCTTTCAATTCAAGTGAAAATAAATGAGATTCCAGTTTCAGATGGAGTGGTTTAAACAGCACACACTCCCGCCACCCTCCAGCCAATTCTAAAGTCACAGACAACTTTAGTGCAAACAGGACTAAACCTACAGCCTCTTCGAACAGGAGGAAGAGCTTCTAGTGGAAGGGGCTATTTATTTAAATTCTGAGAACCCGATATTGAGCTTTTTTTTTCAAAAAAAAAAAAAAGAAGAAAAGCTGCTTCTTGGATGTACCAAGAACAGCTCAAGTTACCTGGCCAGACAGAAACTGGGAGGAGTGGGCCGCAGGAGGCATGAAAATCAGAGGGCAGGGGCCGGCGCCGCAGCTCACTAGGCTAATCCTCCGCCTAGCGGCGCCGGCACACCGGGTTCTAGTCCCGGTTGGGGCACCGGATTCTGTCCCGGTTGCCCCTCTTCCAGGCCAGCCCTCTGCTGTGGCCAGGGAGTGCAGTGGAGGATGGCCCAGGTGCTTGGGCCCTGCACCCCATGGGAGACCAGGAAAAGCACCTGGCTCCTGGCTCCTGCCATCGGATCAGCGCGGTGCGCCGGCCGCAGCGGCGCCGGCCGCGGCGGCAATTGGAGGGGTGAACCACCGGCAAAAGGAAGACCTTTCCCCTCTGCCCCTCTCCCCCCCCACTGTCCACTCTGCCTGTCAAAAAAAGAAAAAAAAAGAAAAAAAAAAAAAAAAAAAAGAAAATTCAGAGGGCAGGTGAGAAGGGGGAGCTGAGAACCTCAAAAAAGGGCCAAGGGGCTATCCACGGGAAACAACAGCGTGCCTGGGCCCTGGCCGTCCCACATTCCACCAGGTTTTCAGACTGGGAGTCAGTTTATCTACTGCCCAAGTCAGCTGGCTCTCTCCTGGGGAAAATGAACACAGCCTGGGCACTAAGGGCCGCTCACAGTAACAAGGGGAGCTATAGCCTCACAACCGACACCCACAAACTTATCCTACAACACCATCTCTCGCTCATCCCAGTGCTTCTCACAAATCACTTTCCTGGAGCAATTCTGACCTTGTGCTTTCAATTTATGAGGTTGTTGGGACTCAAAGTGAAAGCAGGTGCCAACCAGTGCCTTCAGTTACTTCCAATTTCAAGCCATTTTCCCCACTGATAAGACACAAGAAAAGAAGCAAAATCAGAAGGTGGGAGGGGTGCGAACTAGGGATAGCCACATGTGTACATTCTTCCTGCAGGGAGGAACCACAAGGAATCACTCAGCAGGAATCCTTGTGAACCCAAATCATATGGCTTAACCTTCACTCCCAAAATATCACCTTTTGGAAGCCAGAAAAAGGCAAATAAGCAGGAAAATTTATGTTTGCTTATAAAGGAAGACATCCCCCCCCCCCCAAAAATCAAAGTACCTATGCTAATGGGTTTTTCTTTTAAATTTCTTTTCTACAATATATTTTCATAACACGAAATGTGAATCACTGCAGGAAAGCAATGATCTCCATAATCAAAGTAACAGGAATATGAGAAAACTCTTCATTCATTCAGCATCCACAGAGCGAGCCCCTCCCCAGCAGTGTCAACCACCTTCACCAGGACAACAAAATGCATTCAAGAAAAGATACTTCTAATAAAGTAAGCAGAGAAACAGACAAACTTTAAGGCTGTGTGTCTGCCTGTGTCCATGCCCAGTGAACCAAATAAAGTAACAAAGGAGAATTCACTAGAAAGATACTGGGGTGGCTCACAAAAATCCATAGTAGTAAAGGATCAGGACTAGATCCTTCCCAGTCCACCTCCTGAAGAGAATAGCACTCTCCTCCCAGCATCATTCTCAAAATTCCCAGGAAGTCTTTGTGATTGGCGTGGTCTAGGTTACCTGCCAGCTAGCCAATCTCTGTGGCCAAGGGGGCAAGGCTCCTATCACACAAAAGTAGTAGGGGGAGGGGTGAAAGGGCTTTTCGGGCCACAAGGGGAAATCCTCATGCTGATTCACAATAAATGGAGATCAAAATAAGTTATGAGGGGGCTGGCGCTGTGGTGTAGTGGGCTAGGCTTCTGCCTGCAGAGCCGGCATCCCATATAGGTGCCAGTTCTAGTCCTGGCTGCCCCTCTCTGATCCAGCGCCCTGCTTATGGCCTATGAAAGCAGTGGATAGATGGCCCAGGTGCTTCAGCCCCTGCACTTGCATTGGAGACCTAGAGAAAGCTCCTGGCTCCTGGCTTTGGATCAGCTCAGCTCCAGCTGTTGCGGTCATTT